GTGGAATATCAACATTACGAAATAACGTGGAAAATTTCAAATGTTCAAAGTTGTAATATTGGATGGAAGTAATTTAACGTAAGAAATAATATTGATAGTAAATGACAATAATTTAAACAATTAAATGAAAATATTTATATTATTTTGATTCATATTTTCACATCATAACTTCATCAGAGGTAATTGTAAAGATATGTTAACATGGCGCTAATTTTTGTTGGCGGCTTCACCTCATGTATTGAACGGTTTACTTTTATTCGTTCGAATGATGAAAATTATTGGTGATATGAATAAGAAATTGAATCAATGTTATTTTTAAGTATTCAAGAAAAGTTATCTCATCTGTTTGTTCTTATAACTCGACTAAGCGAAGAATGAAGGAGGTGATTGCGGTGCGCCGTGGAACTAACGGTGCATACACGTGTCTATGCAGTCAGTTTCGCCAACAAAAGCCGTAAGAAGCGTGAAGCGAGTTGTTTATCGGTGAAGCTTTGGGAAACATGAGTTCTCGTCTGAGAGTGACACTTCACGGGCCGGCAAGACATTTTTCTCTAATGTTATTATATATAACTGTCTAATTTAAAAATAGTGACACCAGAATCAATAGACAAAACAACAATTAAAAAAAGGCTGAAAAAAATCTGTCACTCATACGAATAAAATATTAAAAAAAATACAGGGATAGGGATACTTTGCTTGAAAGTAGTATCGATCCAGAAAGTGGCAGTGACTTATCTAGTGTCACAGACACTCAGACACCAGCCAGGAAATTCTTATGGCATTATAAACTGATACTGCTTCTACGGAATCGACTGATGAAATATAACTTCAGAGACATCATGTAAGATTTGCATTCACTGTTTTATTTTTGTCACGTTAAGTAGCATTTTTTTACTTTTTACCTTTCTATCACGATAGTATAATATTTTTTCTTTTTATATTAAAATTTTATTACTTTCTCGTTGAATTTAAACATTTTGTATTCTTCTTCATTCATCTTATTTAAGCAGACTTTATGAAATCTGTTAGGAATGCAATAGAGTACCAAAACTTCAGTGTCATAAGTATCTACAATTTTTTCATTATGGTGGTTGTTGCTTCTTACTAAGTTCTAGTTAAATTAAACGAATTATATAAATGTTACAGTACAAATTTTCTGCTCATTGAGGGAATTCGATCAAAATTTTGATTCATTCGGCAGAGAAAAGTAAACTTTTATTCCAGTACAAGGCGCAAAGATGTCCAAAAATGGTTAAAATATACATTGGAAAGATACTAGACTTGTGACGGAATACATCGCGCTTTTTTCGGCTGCTAAAAAAGACAGCGCTCCTGTAAATAGCATTCTCAACCTGGTCAAGATACAGGGTATCACTGGAATCCATACTTTTCATTTACACGAAAAAGACAGTTTTTACTGTTTTTGACGATAAATGAAAGGGGGAAAAATTTGAATTTTAAGAAAGTTATAACCTTGGAGCTGGCGCTATAGTGCTCGGGCAGCAACATACGCACAATTGTGAATGTTAGCAGAAATCCACGAGGAGCTGAAATGATGGGTGTTCCAACTTTGAGTGTTAGTCATCAAATAACGCTGAAACGCTTTCTGCCCTTGCCTTGCGCCTGACGCATTGCGCGAGGGCCGCCGCTGCCCTCCTCCTGCGTGACGCGCGTGCGGGCTCTGCCCCTGCTGTCGGAACGGAACATCCACGAGGGAGAGGAGCTGTGCAGACCTCCCCGCAATCCTGCACAGTACGCAAGGACTCAAGGTTTATACATCGTGTATTGTGGGAAAACGTATACGTTAGCAACTTAGAAGTACACTGCAGAAAACGAAGGATGAGTGCTTACACAAGTGCCTAATTTTCCACATGGAATTACATTGAGACTAATTACGCACGTACAGACGTAAAAAAATTGAACGTCACATCAATCACTACACAAAATGTCCTTTAGCAAACGATTATTGGAACATGGAATATTAATAAAACTAAAGAACTATTATGGCTAAATAAAGAAGTATCAGATTCTGAAATTTGTCGAAATGACTACAAACTATTTCGATAGGACAGGGAAATTAGAGACGAGGGAGGTTTTTATTTTAATTAAATAATACACAAAACGCGAATGTGAAATGGAAAAGTATTCAGCATGAAATGATAGGAGTAGATATAGGCCTAGACAAATGTAAACAGTGTAATAAATTTAACGACAAAGCAAGGTTACAAAGCAGAAACTTTAACAAAGCCATTAGCCAATTCCCTAGAGTCACAAGCCAGTTGGAAAGGGCTCTGCCTCGTTTGTAAATTTGATTGAAGATTGAGTCTCACGATAAATAGAAATTAATAGTTAGCGCATAAAAGCATTTACTTTTTATGTGCAGTTAAGAGGGTATTCTTAGACCAAAGTTGTTAAGTTTAAAATTCTTTAGAAGTTACACTGATTAGTAGAATAGAAGCATCCTTTTATCGTGAAGTAAATTTAAAGCAAGTTTAAAGAAAATCATTATTTATATAAGACCCAGCAAAGCTCATAATAACCACAAAACCCACAGACATGCGTCAAATATTGCGAAAGCTTACATGAAATTAGCAAGAGCAATTAGGAATGTTTTTAAATGTACTTCATGCTCATTTCTTTGTAAATGTATTTAATTTCATTCAAAAGAGTTTATATAATTGTATTTACGAACGACAATTAATTGCATTACGAGTATTTTCCATTTTCACAAATCCATAGATGCAGGCAAGTAAGTGAACCAACACCAACGACTATTTACTTTTTTCTTGTACGCTATGTCGAATATGAATAAAGAAATATATTAGAAGTCATTATCTTTACTTTCTTTCTTTTAGAAAAGAGAAAGTTATGTAATGCTGTAGAAAATCGATTTCAAGATTTCCACAGCAATAGACATTTTTGAGCCCTAAAATACCGAAACACGCTTTTTTTCAAACGTCCATCCGTCAATTTGTAAACAGCATTAGCACCTAAACTATTCGTAGGATTGTTTCCGAACTTAATATGCCCTGTGCATATGGCCTGACTCGGAGCATTGCGTTTTGAAAAACTAAATGGAAAGATCCGGCGACGACATGCCGTCAGGTAGAGGGTTTTTTCCCAAACAGGTATCTCATCAGCGGGGCACCGCCTCAGCCAGAACTAGTTCTAAGATCCCTTTACCCATCTCCCCGTATGTTGGTACAGTAGTGCATGTAAGTTCAAGTGTGCGTAACTAAGGGATGCGAATAGGTCAAGGGAAGGGAAGGAAAGATCGCGCGCGGTCCGTGCTAGTTTGTTAGGGTACTGCGCTGGCATTCACCTGGTATTGATTGAAGAAACATGGAAAACTATCAAGCAGGGCAGCCGATCGCTAGAATTCTCCCCCAGACAGCGATTGAATACTACCTATCTATCTAGCTTGTGTCAAAAAATTCTGCCACCGTCGAGATTCGAACCCAGAGCCTCCCGGTCAGAAACACTGCAGTGACATCAGTTCATTACAAATTCACACACTCAGTACAAACCACATCTTCTTCTGATTTGACTTTGAAAATAATGATTTAAGATATCTTAATCGTGACTCCTTATGGGGACGAGGTTTGAAGAGACAAGGTCAGAGTTTCCATGTTACACAGGATGGCAAATTGAGTAACGCATTGCATGTGCGATTACATATTTATTTGTAGTATAATACATAAAATTCTATACTTTTGCCGCAACGTCGTGTTGAATTAACAAATGCGCAGTAATGCCCCATCCAGAGTTTGTATATTAACTGAGTTATGTGGAGGAAGTGTCCTAGAAATGGTACAAACCTCCCTTTTTCTTAAGATTATATTTTGTGTAGTGAAGGCTGCAGGGAAATTATTTTAAAAAGTATATCAAGACTGTTTTTATTATCTTACCCATTTCTGATCACGTTTCTGATGAAAATAGTTAAGAGATAGAAATAGATAAGACTGTACGTCTTGATTAACACATTTCAACAATCATAATCCAAGAAATAGTAAACATGTCATTCTTAATTGTAGTCTAATTTAAACATTCTTAAGCAGTTACTAAGGTAATAACTTCAGTTTAATTCACCTATTAATGCAGGGTTTTCTATGTGATATATACCTACTTTTCTATGTATTATATCTAATTTATTTATTCTGTGATTTCTGATTTTTTATTCACCAATACAAACAGAACAAACCAATGCAACACATTTAGGTGGGTCTTTACTTCATCATACAAAAAATTGTTGTAAGAAGTAGATTGTAGACGCTATGGTTATTTTAACATTGTCTTTGCAGGTAATGTTACATTTAATAAAAAACCTTTCTAGAGACAGGTTTTGTCCATAATTTTCAATCGATTCCACGATGGAGTTGTCTTCATTAACATCAATTGAATTATAAAACAATGTAAAATACTTTGGTCTAGAGTATTTAATTTATTTATCAGATATTATTTTCTTCAGTCATGAGTTACATACAGTCTAAGAAATAATTATTTTCAAAATGTATACATTCAGGGTTTGGACTGAAAACATAATGTTAAGCATGTTTCTGAAAATGTAAATTAAATGCATTGTGGTATAGTTCTCAAGTGCTTGCTGTCGCTTTGACACATTTTAAGTGTTCAGAGTTTTTAAAGTGTACACGTAGGCTTCCGCGGCTCGAGTCCATTACTTCTCGGCTGTCCGGGTGACGCCGCGTCGTTGGCAGATAGGCCGACGTTTCGCCTGTCATGTCGCAGGCTTCTTTAGCAGCTTTACTATGTCAGTACCCTGAAGAAGCCTGCGACATGACAGGCGAAACGTCGGCCTTTCTGCCAACGACGCGGCGTCACCCGGACAGCCTAGAAGTAATAGTTTTTAAAGTGTGTTCACTTACTATCATTTAAAACATTTTTTTATCCCTTTGCAGTTCGATCACCAATCCAATTATAAACCTCCCGGGAACCCATTGCATAAATTCTCCGTAAGCGCGTAGCCCCCTTCTGCTACCGAGATGCCGAAAAAAGGGAAGAAAGGGAAGGAGAAGGTGTCGCTGGAGGACTTCGACACGACGCCCATGTCCAAGGAGCAGCTGGTGAAGCTGTGCGTCCGCCTCCAAGAGGAGACGAAGCGAGAGCAGGCGGAGCGCAACTTCTTCATGATGGAGCGGGACAAACTGCGCGCCTTCTGGGAGGTGACGCGCAAACAACTGGACGACGCGCGCGCGGAGCTACGGTGCGTGCCTCGGCACAACACGCGCGCGACTTTTCTCTCTCCCTGAGCTCCCGTTCAATAAATGAAGATTCTCGGGCCTCACTTTACTTCAAACAATTGATCGTTTTTAATTATTTAAGTCTGGACGACTGTTTGTAGGCTACATAAATAATAAACTGTGGCACATTTAATACTAGAATTCAATTTCAGCACTCTAAAAATGTATGGCCTTTCTAATTCAACTCCGTTACTTCACAATAATACGCAGTAGAGAATATTAGAAATGATTATAAGTCTAGAGAGCCTTTCCCCAAAGCAATGTAAGAATTGAAAATATTGAAATTGTTAAATTAAACGAAGACAGCGTTCGTGTTAGCAAATTATCTTCATTTAAAACCCTGATACACATATGTCATCAGTGAGAAATATCGAAAATTAAAAGTATAGTCCTCAAATTAATGAATGCTTGCGAAGAACAGTACAAACATTGCAACAGAAAAGTAGATACACACTATGGGGACAGTCAAAAATCCCAAAGAGATTGTTTCATAAGATGCCAGATTAATGAGAGCGGCTTACTAATTTCTCGAATAATACACTCACTGATGTGTGTGTGGACAAAGTGTTAAACACGTCTCTGAAAATGTAAATGATTTGCTGAATAGTTTTCGTAATAATGTTCGTTAGTATATCTGTACAACGCAACCCAATAGATGAATGTAAAGGTAATCATAATGGCCATGGGCCGTTAAGAAATTAACGGCTCCTGGCTGTTAGAGAACAGTGAACTTCAAATTATTTATTAAACTTAAAAAACGCACTCTTACGTATTAAAAGCATAGGTGTTTCTATTTTTATATTATTTTTTCTAAGAAGTATTACGAAATGTATTTAACGACACAACGACCGATATCACGTATCGGCCTAATGACGTTAATAACTATACCAAGGTAGGAACATATATGATGTAGAGTACTGTAGCAGAAAATCTGGCTATCCAGCGTATCATGCTTTCAGAGACAAAGATCATCGCCTGGACGATGACGATATGGCGCGACTCTCCGAGATCAAGTTCCACGAGCAGAAGATTCTGTTTACGATGCTGGAGTACCAGACCAGCATTGCAAAAATGAAGGTGAGGTCCACTCAATCAAAGTATTATTTTTATTTGAGCGGAAGAATGAGTAATAATTTGGTAAATATAGACATTTCAAGGTTCCTGCATGCGGTATTTAGGTAAGCGGGACAGACTCTGCTTGACAATGCAATTATCTGAAAGATTCAATGGCGTTTTTGGCTTTAGAATTACTCTGAAATCACCTCCAGATTTTAAATTCTGTTCTTGATTTATAAATGTATATTTATGGCTGCATGAATGATTAAGGACAATCACAATGGAAAGCAAACTGGTTATAATTCTAAGAGTGTAATAATAAATAATCTAAATTTAAAATATTAAATGTTTACAGTCGTTTTGTAGTAAGTCATAGTACTTCATCATACAGAACATTTGTAACATATCTTATTTGTTCATTGAATTGTAAGACATTTACATACATCTTATCTTATAAAATTTGTGATTATCGTCATTCGATAAATTCTGTGAATAAAGGTAACTTATTTTTGCTTGCTTCTTATAACAATGGGTACATTTTCTAAGAACAACATTAATGCCTTGATGCGTTATTCACCATGCTTTATCTGACGATAAAATGTTGCGTGGACAAATTTTGGCAGCGTAAATGACACTGCAGATATTGAGACCGGTTGAATTAATAGTAAAAAAAAGTTGTAGACTAAAAGCTTCGAAAGCGGTCACTGTTAAAAAATTTTTATGTTAACATTTTCGTAGTTTCTTCAAATTTTTAATTTGTTCAATTTTTGAAGAATTAAATTCCATATCCTACTTTTATTCCCATAATGGCAACTTAAAAGTCGCAAAATTTTGGGAATGGCCATACGTGTTTGGGACTAGTTCAAAAAGCGTACCAATTCATGCAATATTGCAATGCGAATATGAATTAGATGTTTTCTGATTATTATTTAATTATAAAAGAAAGGAAAATAAATAATTTATTTTCGTTCTAATCCTAAATAATAGAAAATAAACGTCCCAATCTATAAGTTTGAAGCGAGCAGGAAGTCAACAATTCTTATTTTTCAAATATTACGATTGAAGTGGTCGCTACTGTTGCAATTGTCATCTTTGGTATCGTCACGTCTTATTAGCCATCGTACTATCGTTTATTTAAGAAATATTTATACAAAAAGACATAAAATCTTAGTCTATGTGCCAAGTATTTAAGTGTAGGTCAATGGAAATACAAATAGCATCAATAGAATACCCAATGATTTTAGGAATATTGACAATAGCATACATAGTTTTAAAATAAATTCTGGAGAATATTCTTTATGTATCTCTCTTGTACCTTCTACCTAGTGTTTAGTAATAAACAGTGCTCGAATTTTGGTGACATATCATCTTTTTATTGGTGCATTATATATGCAGCTAACTTGTAAATGAATGTTTAACACGACATATCGGTCATAGAAATGGATAGTTAATGAACCATTTTCTGTCTTTTTTGCCATTTTTAAATTTTTAGGTAAAATAAGTATTTATAATTAATAAAAATTATATAAATACATTTTATTTTACATTGTAAAATTCTTTGAATAAATAAACATTTTCATACAAATTTTGAGTATTTTTTAAACAATTTGGACATTTCCCGTTCATTTTTAAGTCATTTTTTAGGACATTTACAAGACATTTTGAAAGACGTTTTGGGTCATAAGAATCCGAGCCCTCCTCTAGATCAGATATGCTGGCTTGGGAAGTAAATAAAAAGCATTTGAGTTTTTTGTCGTAAATCTGAGTGTTTCTTGCGCAGATTGAGAACATGGAAGTGCTCAATAAAGCACAACAAGACATCTGGGCGGATGTGGTGTCGCTGCGCCTAGACAATGAAGACACGGCAGAAGAAGCGGCTATTATGACAGCTAAGCAACAATGGTCTATTCAGGACGCAAACATGGTGAGATCGGCATTTTCAAAAATATTTGATCTTAGGATATCGGCTATATACTTAAAACTTAAAAGCTCATGAGTATTCTTTATGATATTTATTCGTACTACTTTCGTATATACAAAGGTTGATAGCCACGATTTTGAATGAGTTGAAGATTTGTACGTATTTGAGAGAGAGTGCACTTCTTGACGCAATTTACACTCTTCCAGGCTATATATATATATATATATATTATCTATTTATATATATATATATATATGTGTATTTTAGTTAGAACAAAGAGAAAGCATTTATTCTGTCCTTGTTAGTCTTTAATGTACTGCAGACACCACACTGAAAAGAGTTAACGCCTGTCTCTAGGCAAATGCTGGTCATTTGGAGTCTTTACTCGACAGTCAATTGTTTGTCATTTTAAGGAAATTATATTTTTGTATTTTTTATTATTTTCAATAATTATTATTTTACTATTGATTTATATTTTATTGGTATTTTTAATAAATTTAAGGCTTTTTTTATTTTGTTAAGGCTTTCTTATTTGCTAAACAATCACATTCAATAATAATAATACATTATTATTGTTATAAATAATGAAAGGATTTTCGTTATTGTTTCACGAGATATCTTTTTGATTTCTCTCTGAGCAGACTTTCATTAAATATTTATTATTGTTACGTTGGTATTAATAAATTGATAAACAGCCATAAGTTTCCTCCACATCTTCAGTATTACAGTTTTGTTTCTTAAATATTCTGGACAGAGTCACCTAAAGAGACGTGTTTCTTGCTCATGTCTCCGTTCACCCCAGACCACCCACTCTGTGCAGCACGAAAAGCTTCCGGTTGTGTGGGCCGCATACCTGCCCTCCTAAGGTCTTGAATGGGAAAACACATAAACAAGAAAGTTGCTGCAGATTATGCCCTGACGATTGCCCCTCTGCTGTCTCGATGTGCGAAGTATAGCTGTTTTGAAAGGTGGCAAAGACATGCGGTTGCCAAATTGTCAAAATAAGAACAAGTGCTGTTAGCCATGGGTTGTTAGTTAAGCTAAAGATCCTGTATTTATACGTTTCCTTACCTGGGATCCAAATATTGTTTGTGTTTAGAGATGGCAAAAAACATCGATGTTTCTCAAACATTGGTATTTTCGACCAGATACATCAATATAACATAGATGTTTTGCTTTTGATGTTTCCTTCAGATCTGTATATTTGACAAAAAACATCGATATTTCCATAAAAGAAATCTCATAATATAATTAGAATTTGCAATTAATAAATGTTTGTGGATTGTTCGCAATCAACAGCCATTGACAACAGTCACTGCAGTCGATCCCCATGCAACACGAAACCGTTTGCTATTCGCAACCTTTCTTCGTAGTAATTACCTTTGATTATTTTGTACATGGTAATATCGTTAAATTGCATTTTGAATCTTGACTGCGTATATCATTGATTATAAAATTATGAAGACAGCGAAATTAAAGGCAGAATATTCTTTGAACTAATATTGACTTGTTGTGTGTCACATTAGAACCAGGACAATTTACTTCGAAATGTTTCATCATATTTAAAATGTTTTTGTCGAAGTTTTCATCGACATTGGAAACCTTTTGGTGGCGTGTCGAAGTATCGATGTAACGATGTTTTGCTACCATTGGCCATCACCGTGTGTGTTTCGGTGAAATAGTATTCCAATGGCAAACGAGGGATGAGGAGGTGACTGCTGTCAGTGATGTGCGTCGACGCGTAAAGAACCAGAGTCTGCGTCTACTCGTAAGCAATGCGCAGAAAACGTACACTGCTTAGACAAAGGTAATCGAAGTAGACAAAGGAAATATATATTTTTTGTGGGGCAGGAGCAAAAGTACGAGGACCAGGCCCCCAAATCTAACATTTATTTCATAATTAAATATTAATAAATTGGGTATAACTATTATACTAAATTTATTCAAAGCAATACTACATATTGTCAGGATCCCATTAAAAGGAGTTCTACCATTATGAATAAACATTTTTTAAAATTTCAAGTTATCATTATTTTGCTTCAAAACTATTTATGACTAGTCATGAATAGAGTTGCCTTCCTCCCCTGTGAAATACTTAGGGTCCACATCTCTTGTGGGTGCGAAGAGGCTGGCGACATAATCAGAGATGTGCACATTATTTCTGCGCATCGGGTTGGTGACACTGCACTTAAAGGGAAAGAGTCGGATGCAAAGTGCGATGGAATGCAAAGTGCGTCGGATGTGATGTGCATGTTGAAACAAGTCCTTACTGGTTTCATGAGACGAATAAGGTGGTTGTCAATTCTTCATCAGTTAGTGGTATGATTTGTTTGAATCGAAAATAAAATTGTTAATATCACAATTCATTATGCTTCTACTATTACCACTTACTATAATTTTTTTTCGTTACATGCTTTGGAAAAATAGTGTACACAGATTACGTAGTCTACACGTTAACCGAGTGACGTGGGCGCGTGCAGGAGCACAGCGCCGAGGTGACGCGGAAGCGCGACGAGCACGTGGTGACGGTGGTGGACGTGAGCGGCCACTTCGAGCGCCAGGTGACCGTCGTGCGCGCGGAGGCGAGCGAGCGCCACCGCCTCGAGCTGGCGGCCATGGCGGAGCTGCAGCGCGTGCAGACGGAGCTTCTGCTCCAGAGCCACGCCCTGTGAGCAGAACCAAAGCACTGGCAGCGGCGCTGCTCCGTTGTGTTTGCGTGTGCAGCTAGGAGTAATAAGCACTTCAACGCAAGAATATTAATTAGAAAAAATAAAATATGAATGAAAAAATACACATACAATAGTACTAGGTGCTTACGGAAAATATAACTATTTACCAAAAACAAACAAATCCTACGTTCTGTAACGAAATATTCCCCCAGAAATATTTTTTGGGGAATATTAGTTAAAAGAAAACAAAACATAATTAAACTAAAAGAAAAAAAAACACGGAAACAACTCAACGAGGACTAAAAAAATCCACCTCAAGCCATGACTTTGCAAATTCACGCCGTAACATCAGTATTACACTACTCTCTCTAGTGCAGTCCAGACCGCGCGCGATCAGGTGGAAAAGCTCGCCGCCGTTTGCTGCACTTTCATTGACAGAGAGGACTGCCGTTCGCGGGCCAAGACGAATGCCGACCAACCTTTCCGTTCCCGCCGTGTTGTGGGCGCCTGGCTTAGGTTTCCGTCTTTCAATATTCATTACGCGCCCGTTTGCGGGCCGCATGCGGAAGCTCAGTCCCGTTGCCTCTGCAGCTCCTTCTGCCGGGAGAGCCTTGCGATTTTCAACAATAACTACGCACGAAGACGTATTTATTCAAAGAAGCTGAAAGTCGCACGCACACAATATTAATGCATAGTTATTCTACTTCCTCTATTTTCCACATAATTTGCATCGACTAGTACAGCCTTGCGCCAGCATGAAAAAAGGGTGAGCATGCCTTGCCCGAACTTAGTCTTTTCCTGACGTACCCATTCCTTCACTTTGTAGATCAGACTAGCTTCAACTTCCAATTTTCTTCGGCAGTCTTCTTCCCGATTTTTCTTCCTGATAGCGGTTTTCATTGACCCAAAGAGATGAAAATCGGAGTGATCTAAATCTAGACTTAATGGTTGATGTGGAAGCAAAACCCATTTTTGTTCGTGCATCTCTTGTTGCGATATTTGTGCGTAGGCGTGCATTCTAAGGCTAGAACAAACTTTGTGCACAATTATTGTGGGATAGAACTCGCGGGAATCGCTTCTTTAGGGTATAGGATGTCCCAAAAGACGGTGAGCAGCATGTGAGGACCGGTCACCGTGGCGTGTTGTCCGGAGTGCGGCATATCATGGAGATCTTACTCATAACTTTCGGAAGCTCTTGGTCGTTTAGCTTCTTTGTGTCCCTCCCTCGCGTCCATTAAATCCTCGCTTCTTGTGCAAATGGCCTGACGATCGCCTGCGTACTGTTCTGTTTTATCCACATTGTTCCCCACGATTTCACGTACACACTCTTAGACGCTTCCTTTTGACGAGCAATTTCGGAGTGTTAGAGAACGCGCGCGCGCACAGAGCCAATTCCTGAGGGAGGGGCAGAAGCCCTCTCAGCAAGCGAGAATTTCTTAGATCTCCGAAATCGTGCCTCAAAAGGAAGGGTGCAAGTTGCTTCTTAATCTCTAATTTCTGTATTTCCACACTTATCAGACATTAGTCATTAAATAAACTGTTCTGTATCGACATCTTAGTTTGCTTCTCTACAGGGTTTCCACATACTTCTGCACCCATTTTCCAAATCAAGCTCCTCACTTAATGCTTCTCAAAACGCCACATCATACGAATATCATCATATTTCATTCTTTCTCTTGTTCTCTTCTGTTTCCTCTTATTACAATGTTCTTCTCCATGTCATCTCATATGTCTTCAAATTCAACACCCTTTACCCACAGATGCTAACTTTTATACTTGCAAGTGAAATCTCCTAAGAATATATTTTCAGGTTTTGCGCATTTTAATTTCGTTAAGTTTTGAAAAGAAATATGATTTGCAGGGCTCTGACGGACCTGAAGAATTACTACAACGAGATCACGCTGAACAACCTATCGCTGGTGGCGACGCTCAAAGACGAGTGCGGAGAGCTCCGCGAGCGGGAAGATCGTGCGGTGCAGGTAACTTTGACCTCAGCCTAGGCGTCCCATTAGGCGTTTATTAGGCGTCCCATTAGGCGTCATATTTGGCATCTCATTAGGCGTCCAATGAAGCGCCTCTTTAGACGCCCCATTAGGAGTCTCATTAGACTTCCATTAGACATCATATTATGCATCCCATTAGGCGTCCAATTAGGCGTCCTATTAGTCGACGATTTAACCGTTATATTAGCAGTCCTACTAGACATGTTAACCGCCATATTAGATGACATATTTAAACGTCACGGTAGGTATCCGGCCAGGCACCCCATCTGACGCCTTATCAGGTGCCCAATTATTCGCCGCATTCCATTAGGCGTCGATAAACGCGCGCTGAGAGCGTGGCCTGCGTCAGCTGGCGCGGGCGCTGCGCGCCGAGAACAAGATGCTGGCGGGCCCGCTGCGCGAGGCACGCGAGGAGCTGGCGGAGCTCGGCCGCCAGATGCAGAACTTCGAGAGCGACCAGATCGAGCTGGAGCGCGCCACCGCCCACGCCCACGCCGCAGAGAAGGAGCTGCGCGACGTGAAATGGGAGATGGACGTCATGCAGATCCTCCTCGACAAGGTGCGCGCATCGCTCAACAATTTAATGTCACCTGCGCCCGTTTTTTAAAGTTTTTCATGAACTTTCAAGAACGGGCGCAGGTGACATTAAATTGTTCCTAAATCTCGATCTCGACGTAATCGTTTTCATGTGAAGAAACGTTTTCTCGCATATGTAAAAGCGTTCTAAGACTGTCATTACGCCACTCGCAAAGCGTTTTAGATCGAGAGAGTACTGCAGAAGACTGGCGTAGAACACAAAATACCGTTATTTGACGAGCATTTCATTGTGCCATTCGTTTGGAGCTTAATCACTCCGATTTCAACATTTTTTGTTCCCGTAACGCATACACATCGGTAGTTATTTTCGCTACTATTAAAGATATCCAGCTTTTGACATAAAAGTATCAGAATGAAATGACGCCCTTGCAGCTGGAGAAGCTGCACATGAATCCGATGGCGACGCTGAGGATAACAAAGTAATCTTGCCCATTTAGTCCTCCTGCAGAGGTCCGTCAGGAGAGCTCCAAAACTGAGGAACATCTGAAGAAGGCGCAGGTTGCGCTGACGATGCGGTAATCCACTTGCTCGTACACTATGCTCGTACAGGTGCATGAGGAGCGCCTCGCGCTCGAAGAGGAGCTGACGAAGGCGCAAGCGGAACTGAAGCTGCACTGACTGGTTTAAAATGACCACTCACGTATCTAGTTTTCCCCGTCGATGCGCGAGAAGAGTTTATGCAACTGATGGTGTAGCTGGTGAAAGCGCAGGCGGAACTAAGGCTGCACTGACTGGTGAAATACATCCACTCACATATTCAGTTTTCCCCGTCCAGGTACATGAAGAGCGAATGGGATGGGGGAATGGCTGATGAAGGCGCAGCTAGATCTAAGGTTGCGGTGAATGGATACAATCTCCTCTCACTCTGTTTTCCCGTTCATGAGCCTGACGAGCGCGTGCAACTGGAACAGCGGTTGAAGAAGGCGCGGGTTGAGTTGAGGCTGTGCTGAATGGACGCAATCTCCTCTCAGGTGCGTGACGAGCGCGTGGACCTGGGGGAGCGGTTGAAGAAGGCGCAGGCGGAGCTGAGGCTGCGCAGAGCGAAGGCGCAGATGCGAGCGGAGCGGCGCGTCAGAGACCTAAGGGCTGCTCTGGAGACCCGCAACGCGGAGATCGCCATTGCGCAAATGCCGGGCCCCACCTGCCAGTGCGTACACGGCTTTCTTCCTGCTTCTTCTGGAACCTTTAAACGTTCCTGCCCATGGCCCAACGTTAAATGTTCATGCTCGGCGTGTAATGGTTAGCGTATCAGACTGGTATATCCAAGTTGCCGGGTTCAAAACTGATCGAAGCCGTGGATTTTTAAGGGCGAAAAAATCCTTCGTACACCTTCCTTCGGAGGGAAAGCTTGCTGTCCCATGTTAGTAGATCTACTTGCGAATAAAAGATCCTCAAGCCTAAATGACGCCTCTGAGCAAAATTCAAAACGCCTGTTTCGTCGCCCAAGAAGTACCTCGTGTCTCCGCTAGTTGGTGAAAGGAGCGTAGCGAAATTTGCGTGGTCAGACGAAAGAGCGGGCCTGATGCCCCGAGTCTCACCACGTAAAATAAGGCATTAATTCAATTCCTGCCGCGTTTTAGTGTGAATACTATATTACCTTCGTTCACCTGCCAATGTATTATCGCTAACCGCACGTTTGTAAACATAAATATGGCTAGTGGTTTCTTTTTTTCCGAAATGTTTCCAAATTCCTGCCGTGTGTTTGTAGCGATACTATATTATCTCAGCCCGCCTGGCAGAGTACACTCGCGCACTACACTGCTAAAATGGATGATGGCCCGGGAAGTTCCTCCCTTTGGATTCTTTACAAGAACATCATTCTCCCATGTTTATGTGGCAAAACTATATTGCCTTGGCCCAAATGGCAGAGCATATATTATGTGTGGTTGATGGTTTATCCGGCGTTCCCACTGCAGGTAGGTCCAGAAGTTTTAGTATAAGGAATTTTACATCTAAGACGTGTTTGCTGTTTAGGTATTGTCGTAGTCTGAAAAGAGGACTGAAAATGAGCTTTCGACATCTCTTTCTTAACAGTCAATCCCCAATAATTTGCATTTACCATTCATTTGTACTCGTGCTTTGTACTAGGACGGCGCTAGGAAACATGCTTTCTAATTTTTGCAAGTGTTTGTGGGATGCATGAATATTTATTGCGCCGAACGACATCGTAGCTTCCGATACGATTTTGAAAGAGGAGATTAGATGAGAGTAATCTATCATGTGCGTATTGGTAGCTTGTCCTTCTCACGCAAAGACATTTCTTGCATCTGCCTACAACACATCTAAACTTCTCATCAAGCTGGGGTAAAAGCCATATGCAACTTAATTATATGATTTTTCTCTATATCTTTGGTATATATCTAATTAACTTCCGTCCCTCAAAAATGTATGCTCCCGTGAACGTGGCGATTTCCAATAATTTCAGATGTCGTTGCTTTCCACTCACCCAACGTCAATGTCCATTCACTTCACTTTTGAAGGAATCGTAAATAATACACTCAAAGTTTCAACGAAAACATTTTGTTCGTAGTTCTGGATTGCAAATCAATGGACAAACTGTAACCTGCGAAGAATTTTTCTGTATTCTTGAACTAAAGATATGTTATGTCCTCCCCAAGGTTTCGCTAACCTTCTATACTCTTGAAGACGCTACTAACTGGACAATTATACAAATATTTCACGTTAATTATCTGGAGTTGATCGCCAGTCGTTACTTCGGTACCTCCATTGTTGTATGTGTTACGAGGCGTGTCAACGTAGGCTGAGCAAACGTTTCCGTGTGGGATGCGTGGGCGGCAAGAGCGCGCGTGCGCAGGCGCCTGGCGGCGCTGCAGCCGCTGCTGGACGAGAAGAACAAGCGCATCGCGCAGCTCGACCGCGGAATGGTGGCGCGCCTGTCAGGACGCACGCCACCACCCTGCAACAGCTGCGCGGGCGCTTGCGCGAGCGCGAGCCGACTTCGGACGAACGGGCTGCGCGTGCCGCACCGCGGGCCGCCGCGCCGGACGACGAGCTCGACTGACGGGCTGCGCCAGCGAGCCTCGCTACGGTCGCGTCATCTTCTGTGCTCGTTAATTTTGTAAGTGTTGTACGTGGGTTAATCACGGGAGGTGGCGGTGTTCCTCGCGTTGGATGACGAAGATCGGGCCGGACGTACGCGGCCGCTAGCGGGGTTTCTCTCGTCCAGGCGTGTTCCCTCGACATGAGCGGGTCAAGCTTTAAGCTTCAAGCCGTTTTCACACGTGATAGTGTACATGTAAGTGTAAGTGGGTGTGTGCAAAGGGACAAAAATAGAAAGGAAAGCTAGCGCGCGGTCGTCATGGAAATCACGTAGGAATGACCGCCGATCAAAGCAGCCTGACTGGTGACTTTTCTGCCTGACAGTGGCTGCATTCGGCATTGCTGAAACTAGTGTCAAAAAACTGTGGTAGGCTTAAGAACTCTAGGATCTCTCTGTCGGAGGCAGTGCTGTGACCACAGTTGATGCCTTAAGCCACCGCTCCCGGTGAGGCGTTGTGGGTTGTATTGCCGATTTTGAGGGCTGTCTTGTTGTGTCCTTCCTCAGGATATTTTTATTCCTGATAATGGCCATGTCATGACCAAAACTCATTATACGACGGGTCGTCACCCTGTACACTCGTATAAGGGAGAAACCGCTATAAATAACAAGAAAACATTCAGAGTAGACAGCTGCCGGATATCCTACGTACAGCGACTGCATTTAACCTAGCTCTCTAGCTTGTGTTGAAAATACGCTACTGTCGGGATTCGAACACTAGGGTTCTCCTGTCAGAATGTGGGGCATTTAGCTGTTTTTGAGCTAAATCAGTAGGATTAATGAAGCAAAAATGTACGTAAGAAGTAGTAATTACGAGAGCGACAAAGAGCAAAATTAAGTCGTATATATATTTGACCTCAAAATGAATTGAAAATTTGCGTTTGCTGAACACATATTTTTCATGTTATTTGCAGAGACCAAATGCTTTAGCCACATCACCGATTTTAATATGCGCGAGCAAAGCGAGTGAAATTGTTTGAATCAAGTTGGAGATTTTTTGACAAATCTCATACTTAATTCATCTACGTGCAATACTCAAAAGTTGTTTGAATCACGGTTATTCATGACGAACTTTGTTTAATTTAGTTGGTTAAGCCCTTTTGCAATCGAACCCTCTGGAAAAGCCTCGTTGATATTTTCCTCAACGCTTTGGTTTTCATGTCATAGTATTCGTTAGATAAAAATATTTCACGACATGATTTCTGAAACATTAACAAAACTATAATACGACGCTGCACGGCCAGCCAAGAACATTCAAATAATTGACTGTGCAAGCAAAAAGGGGAAAATTTCTAACTTGTTTATACTAATGGTAACGGATACTTTTTGTTTCTTATTTTATTTACCATTTATTAATAGATCAAAGTGCAATCATAATTATTTCCACTTACTGCTGTCAACAGATCATAGCTGCTTCCGCACTTGCGACTGCAGCCGCCAACCACTGCGTGTCAGAGGGATCAAAAACTTGAACTTTGCGGCAGCACGTTTTGAAGAATATACACTTATTTTCTAAAACACGACTTTATATAATTGTTTAAGAATATATGAAATATTTCTTGCTTATATTTAGAATGTTTACTATAAGTCATTGTTATAAAATAAAATTTTTGAATATTATCTACAAGGTTTTTAAGCTCCTATATATTTCTCTACAGTGTTATTTATATTAAATTTATATTAAGTACCGTTGAACGTAATGTTCTATATTACTACGCGGATGACTATGTGTTCTGTAAAAAGTATAAAAATCTTACTTGATCTTACACCCACTAACTCACATATTTAATGTATCCTTACACACAGGAATTTTTCCAGATATTTTTAAAGTAGCTAAGATTAAGCCGCTTTTCAAAACAACCAACAAAAATGAATTTCAAAATTATCGGCCAATTTCTCTTTTGTCGTTTTTTCAAAACGACTTTTTTACGTACGAATGGAAACATTTATTAGTAAACAACGCGTTTTCAGATTGCCAATATTAATTTTGAAAATCAAAATCTATGGAAGCAGCCATATTTTCTTTTCTTAAAGATGTCCCCTCATCCATAGATCAAAACGAAGCACCTATTGGAATATTTTTTGATCTTTCAAAAGCTTTTGGCGTCATTGATCATAACATTTTACTCTCAAAATTACCTTCGTATGCAATTCGTGGCGTTGCTCTAGATTGGTTATGTTCGTACCTTAAATAGCGATCTTAGAAAGTAGAAATACCTTACTGGAATAATGGAACATTAGTACACACCTTTCAATTTCTTTGCCAGTGGCATGTGGAATCCCGCAGGGATCGATTTAGAACCTATTCTCTTCTTACTATAGGTAAACGATATGCCCTCGACGATTAGAAAAGGAAGAACAGTTATCTTTGCGGATGATACAAATATTCTTTGCAATAAAGAAACCATAAATAGTACAATATCAGATATGTAAAATTAGTTCCGTGATAACAAATTAGTAGTAAGTGAAAAGAAAACTGTTTCAATACAGTTTTCCATTTCAAATAAACACCTCTGCACTTCACTGAAAATGAACATTGTGCCATTGACTGCTGTAAAAG